CCAACAATGTCTTCAAGGCCATGATGTACTCCCGTGGCCTGTCAGGTTACCAGACCTCTTGCCAATAGAGCACGTTTGAGACATGGTTGGAAAGCAACTGCACCCGTCCCGGTTTTAACTTCCCAGTTGCAAAGCTTATTGCATAATCTTCTGCCAGGGTCATAGATGACCTACTTGATTCGATGGCACGTCGTGTTTGGCTTGCATAGCTGCCAGAGGTACTTATACTACTTACTGATTTGTAACCTTATCCATGCCGCAACTTCTTAATACAGCAATCTTTTGTTCTAAATTTGTTATCATTTGTTTATCTTATCATACACTACACATATGCTAAAATTCGTGATAGTAGTTCTTTTCCTTCTGGGTGCATATATATTTTTGTGACAGAGTGTGCTTACTTGAGAAGTGAAAATGTTTCCAGCTTCGTAACTGTTTATTTTTATCATACTTATAATACTACTGATGAATTCAGAACGTCAGCAATTGTAATCAGTTTTAAATAATTTAAAGATGAAGTCAGGAACATAGCTGAACGCAATTTTTTTTGAAATTCTGCGATGAATTTTGGCAAATCTATTCACCATAGCTTAGTATCAATATATATAAGGAATTATCATATCCGCGTACATGCTTTCGTGATGTTACGTAGTCACATATCTGCCAGTTAGAAAAGCGCCCAGCCGGTATAGTAGTCAGTGACACCATACTGATGGACCCAGAGATGGCATGGATGTTTTAAACGTATAGTATCTGTGCAGCAAGGGTGCTTTAAAAAACACGGCTGGCCAATAGTCGTCTCAAGAGTTTGATGGCAAAGGAAGGGGTTGGAGACCCTCGGGCCGCCCACGGATTGTTCTCCCTGAAAAACTTTGGTGGGATTATGCTATACGACTATTGTTAAAATTCTGGTGTCCCGCTCACTTCTTCCTATACCACTACTAGTTGGAAGATGCGAGGGTATAGAAGACCAGTTATGTTCAGTTCGGGTAACAGTATATTTACTGTTACCCGAACTGAAGTAGAACGGACGATAACTCGTCACCATCTGGATTTTATGTGTTGTATCTTAAACTTTTCCATAATTGCCTTCCAACGGATGAGAGGAATGTATGGATTTATTGTACTACCCCTTGCGTGCTCTGTGGCGTTAGCGGTAAACCCCGAAAGTTAAAAACTGAAAGATTCGTAGTTCGAAACCCAGCAAGCGTACAGCATGTTTTTTTCATGTTTTGTGTTTCGAAATATATTCTGTAGTGTTGCCTGAACTAAGATGTAGTAAACTTTAATTCATTTCCACACGACTATTATATATATATATATATATATATACTGCTCTCCAGTTGCCTTTTTTTTAAGTGGGGGAATAATGTCAGCAATTATTGCATTTTTTGTGCGTGCTCTCCTGTTGTAAGTAGTTAACTGTAAATGTCACCAACTGGAAAATCTCTGGTTCAAATCTAAGGTAGGGGATAGTTGATTTTCATGTTTCCTGAGTCGAAATATCCAATGTTTTCTACACATGTTAACTAATCATTTGTTATCTTTTACTATAAGATTAAAATGAATTTTTGCTTGCACGGAAGTTTTGAGGCTTGATCCATTGGAGCTACTGGCGTTGTTTAAGTTGCGTGTACAACTGCAACACCGAGTTCAAACAAATCTATTCTAAACTGTGCGAGACACTGAATTTCATAACAACCAGTGGCATACCTGCAGCTATAGAGATCCGGACCGGAAATATCTGTATGGTCCCCCTTGTTGGAATTTTATTTATAATTAACATTTAATTAAAATTAAATACTAGTTTAAATGATTTGGGAAACAAAAAATCTTAAGACTAAAGAAAAATAGCTTATATATCTAGCAGGCAAACATATATTTAAAAAAAGCTTTAATCTGCCACTTTTGATATTTAAAAAGTCTTTAACTATTTTGCCAACAAAAAAAAAAAAAAAAAAAAAAAAAAAAAAAATCTAATTTTTTCCCGAGCTTTGATTTTCTGAGCTTTTGGATAGCTTTATCAAAATTCATGTTCTTAGCTACTGCATTTTCAATAGAAAGGATTGCCAAACTATTAAGTGTTATTTAGCTCATTAGTGATTTAGTTGATTAAAAGCTATTTTAATCAACAATAATTTAGGGACTGATTCTTGGTAGTGCATTTTTATGATAAACTAATATTTTCAATGCAGGCTCTTTTCTTCAGACACCTCTCCCCGAGGGTGTTCGCCGAAAACATCGTGGACGAAAACGTCGCGGAGAAAACAATGCAGGGCGAAAACATCGTGGGAGAAAATAAAGCAAAAAGAAAACTTCGCAGTTCTAAAACATCGTGGCACCAAACATCGTCGTCGAAAATAATGCGGTTCAAAAACTTCGAAATTTAAAAAATTCGTTGACGAAAATACGTGGTAAAAAATAGAGTACCTACAAAACATCGCATGACGATAACATCGCAGGCATGAGTTTTTCAGGCTTTAATTACAGTAAAATTTAATAATTGTAAAAACTCGCATAATGATTTGTGAGCGCAAGAAGTAAAGAAGGATAATTTTTAATTCCATATTTTCTATTAACTAATAAATATGTGTTGAAAATGTAAAATGGAAACTTAAGCATAGACAATTAGTAGCACCTAATAGAATTTTAAACTGACATAGTTAACTAACAAAAATCATTAATAAATTATTTTTTCTAAAGTTTTACTGGTAATTTTTTATGAAAAGTATAATCTAAAAACAAATAGAAAAAGAAAGATTAAATAACTGCATGACCTTATTTATAAAAAATTGCTAAGTTAATTATGAGATTATTTTCTTCACTTTTGTTGATCTGATACTCTTATAGTGAAGATTATTTCTTGTTTGTTTAAATTTCTTGTTTCATTTTTTATAAATTTATTAGGTACTAAAAATATGAAGAAAAAATTATCTTTCTTTCCATCTTGCACTCACAAATCATTATGCTAATATCCATTCACAGTTATTAAAGCCGGAAAAACGCATGTCTGCCATGTTATCGTCATGCTATGATTTGTAGGCTTTACTTTTACCAGATATTTTTGACGACGATGTTTTAAAACTGCGAAGTTTTTTAACCGTTTTATTTTCGACGACGATATTTTGTACCACGATGTTTTAGAACTGCGAGGTTTTCTCTTTGCTTTATTTTCTCCCACGATATTTTGTACCCCGAAGTTTTCACCTTCGTTGTTTTCTCCGCGACGTTTTCGGTCCGCGATGTTTTCGGGTGTAACCTTCTCCGAGAGACCAAGACGCACGACTGCTAACAACATCAAAGGCAAATTAATAATCAGTATGCATAGAAGAATTACATAGATGTTTTTAAAAGTAAGTACAAGATAATTGTCTTCATTATGCGAAGATCTTGCTATTAGCAAGAGTCTCTAATTAATAATTTCAGAGCGTTCTACTGTACTGTTCGGGTATATTTTGAAGACTAATTTAGCCTTTAAATATTTTCGTTGTGTTTCATGTCCTCTGATTCGTTATAGTTGAAAACGCTATCAGAGGAGCAGTAGATTCATTTGTTTGTCAGCCTTCTGAAGCTGAGAGTTTTTCATGACAGACACAGCGCAGATCGCTAAAATCTTCTGACGCTGGTTTTGAAATTATGATTTTTTATTAAGTCAAGTATTAGAGACACTTCTGTAAAAGTTATTGCGTATGTAATATTAGAGCACTCGTATCATAACTTTTAAAGGCTCGACTTGATGTCATTGACCTTTAGACCGAGACTTGTGAGGTGACCGCGTACGTTAATTTCTTAACTTTGTGCAATATGCCGTTTCAATTCTGTAACCTTATAGACGCATTGTGCACACCAGCCAAGGGTAAAAGAGTCATTTTGCTGGGTTAATTTCTCAAACACATAAAGCTTTTGAGCACGGTATGGAAACATAGTACCTGAAAGCAATGTGTATCGTAATATGTAGGTAGAAATAACGTTCAAAAATTTTAATTACGTAAAACTTATGAAGTTATAATATTGTTACGTTATCCTACTTCTGACACCAGTTGTTACGTTATATCCTTCCTTCACGTTCGTACGGGTTTCGTAGATTTGGAGTGAATAACGACGACACTTGATGAAGTATCGAAGCACACTTTATTTAGCCAATATTAATCAGAGAACAGCTCCAATAACACGTGTTTTTACAGTCATCGTAGATCTACTATAAACACGCTGACACGATCAGGGACACAGCCTTCAGGTTATCAGGCTATCACGATGGAGACAGCTTCCTGCAAAGCATTCGGCTCTGCTTTCCGGAGTAAAGCTCCCGACTGTGCTTGGTCGTTCTCGGAACTCCACGTACTCTCGAGACTCTCCACGCTACAACTCGCGATGCACTCGACGACACACAGAGCACAGCTCCTGACTCTTCGGTTCAGTCGTTCCCGGAGCTCAACACGCACTCTTGACGATGCACTAACCGCGATACACGTGTTTTTACAGACTCCTTTGGTGCACTCGACGACCCACTCGGCACTCGTTGCCCGGCTGTAAACTCGATCGACTCCGCACGGCACGCTAGACGAGACACACTCTCTGAGACACACTGACTGCGGACCAGCAGGGTTTATATAGCTTTCGGCTTGTGTTCGGGAACATTCTGGGCTAAACCGGTAAGAATTCTTTCCAGAAGGTTCTCCATCCGTCCATGGTATATCGCCAATTTTGTCGCCAAATGGGAGAGTTCTCGCCAAATGTGGCAATCCTAAAATTGCTTTGCGGGGAAGCTACCTTACCGCGCCTTAACATTTCGTAACAATATATTTGAAATAAGAAGCTTAATTAGGTATGAAATTCACAGTTAGAATTGAATTTTACTCATGTATTTGATACCAAATTTAAAACCAGGCAGGAAATAAAAACAAAAACTTCCTAAAATTAAAAAAAATGAATTTCAAGGCTACCTGTTTATTTCTCATCGGTTTCCAGATTACTAGAACTGGAGAGACTTTAGTACCATTCAAGCAAAGGTTACAGTGACATAGTAAAATTCACAAGTGTGAAAAATATTCAAAAAGTTAAACCATTTCCTTAAATATTTTTAATACATGTTTCTCTTGAAAATATCATTTTTTACAGGTTACAGTATAAAATGAATGAATAAATTATTATACATTTTAAATAAAGGACAGAGAGAAATACAACCACTAGCTCATGGATCGTGCAGTTAGTAATTAAATAATATGAAATTAATTACGGGGAATCACATACTTCATTATGATGACGACATCACAAAACTGCAGTGAGTAGATCCAAATGTTACTTTATGCAGCAAAAATTTAAATTTTTCTCAACTTTAATTCAATGTTTCTCACGGAAATGTTTCAAGTTTTTTCCCCGATTGCAGTACACAAGTTTGTTATGTCCCGTTTTAGGCTATTTTAAAAATCGTGCCATTTCCGCCTCACTTGATAATACAGATGCTAAAGACTCCCATTTCAGCCTTTCCAAAGTCAGCGTTAAATCCGAAAGCGTGACAAAAGGTCACGTGTCTGTGAGATATATATAAACTGATATCATATTTTAAAGTGAGTTTAGGCCCTGAGTAGATAAGCCATTAATAACATCGGTGATTACATTAAAAAAAGTTTATTTAAAAAAAAAAATTTGACTGCAATTCAGCATTATCATTATCTTGAAATAAGATTATGTCAATTTCTAAAGAACAGTCGCAGCTAAAAATAGTTTGAGAATTCTACATTTTGAAAACTGAAACATTGAAAGCGAAAATTGAAACACTGAAAGCGAAGAATGAAAACTTTTGAGGATCTGGACAGCATTAATATCTGTATTAAAAATACAATGTTACGAGAAATCCTGGAAATCGTCAGTACTACTGCTATCCAAGTTTTTAATTAAATAGATTAATTACATTACAGATTTTTTAAAAATATAAGTTTCATCATAAATGAGAATATTAAGCCATATAGGATAATGGGTTCTTTACAACCATCTGTCGAATACAGAACTTTTATTACAGTTTAACTTACGGTGTTGTTTTTATTACAGTTGGTGCGAAGACATTGGAAGAGGGAGACATTATACGATAAAATTCGTACGTTTTAAATTTCGCCGGCATGAGTTTGCGAGAAACAAGAAAAGCCGGAAAAGGTAGGCTTCTTAAGGCTAAAATAATTATTATTATTATTATTTTCATTTTAATAAGCCTCCCTTTTTCAGTTTTACGAAAAAAGGTACGTACTAATTTTAGCTTATAATGTCCCCCTTCTCCAACGTCTTCCCCCAATTGTAAAAAAAAATGTTAAAAATAGAAACATAATACGGTTTTTGACGTTCTCATCCAGAACACCTGCAGAAGAGGGAAAAAAGGCTGAAATGGCTCGATTTTTGTTGTCACCTCCAGAAAGTCGGAACTGGGACATTACGAACCAAATTTAAATCCAGTCTCCTCCAGCTGCAAACCAGAATTTCAAGTCATCTTCAATGGAGTACATCCGATTTTTTTAAATTCAGGCAGCTTTTACTTCCTATGAAGTCTGCAAGGTTCAAGCTCAGGTTGAGATTCACAACATTCATGGTAGTCAGCTGACAGAGTGAGAAGCAGTTAAGTGATCAAAGATTCTGTTGTGGCCTTCTTTCAGGATATTCCTCACGACATCCAGATGATGTCTGATGTAAGAGACCCCTGGATAGATGGCTAAAGTTTGGAGGAAGCATTCCTCCGCTGTTTCGTAATCCTGACGTTCAAAATAGACCACGCATAAATTGTGAAGGGCTTTCTCATTGGTAGGTTCCAACTTCAGAACGTGTCTATAACACTAACAGGAAAAGAAAAAAGAATTTCAATCTTATATATTTTTATTATGATATTATAAAGTTTTAATACTTGTTATTTAAAAAACTTGAAAGTTTATGGCAAAGGTCCTTAGACAAAGAAGAACACATACAAACGAAAATGAGACAAAATACGTATTAAACAATTCAAAAGACAGGAATAAATACAGAAATTCGTTAAGTGGTCTCTTGCCTCCCAGTGTTTACTGCAGGGATTCCCGACGGAGCCGACGGGGGTCGATGAAGGAGCCAATAATAATCATAATCGAGTATGCACCGGCAGCATATAAGCATTCTGTATCGCGCCACGCTCATAGGGAAAAATTCCTCCTCGTGACTGGATATGGCTTCCGATTCCATCTTTTCCTTTACGCTTAGGAACGCCTTGACTTTGCTTGCCTTGGTCTCGAGGGTACACTTCCATATCGTTTGTTTATATTTTGATAACAGTACCGAAAATATTATTACGAGCGTTGTATTTTTGTTGCTATGAGATTACACTTTTTACAACACTGTAGTGTGGTAAATGTAATATAAAAAATGTATTTCTTTTCTATTCCCCTAGAAGAAAAAAAAAAGTTCTTGTGCTAACTCTGTAAATGTGTATTAAGTTCAGAGATTTTTAATAAATGCATTCTTAATTTAATACCCTTCATATTCAAACTGTTGTGATTATTAATTAATTATTTCATGTTAATTATGTATCCATTCTCTGCGGATGCAGTCTCTGAAAGCATGAGACGAATTACGTTTCGGAAATAGCAAACACAACATTAGGAGCTAATATAGCACCCAGTAAATTCACAATATTTATAATCAATCTGAAAAGGTAAAATTTAATTTTGAAGTTAGACTACTATAAATTTGGAACAGAGAAAGAGAGATATGTATTTTAAATTGAATAGTATTCCTTTATGAATATTGCCCATTTTTTAATGCATTTTTGTACCTTTGCGTAAAAGTAGTGTTTGTCAGAGAAGGGAGTTTCCTTTCTTATACACGTGTATTAAAATTCAGCGACAATACTGAATGCCCGTTTTTCTTTTATTTAACCCTTTGCGGCACAGTGTGTCCGGTCTGGACACACCTAAAAATTTCCTTCTGTGCGCACAGAAAAATTGAATGAGAAAGGATTTATAGGTTACTATGAACCTTCTTTATTTATAGTATATGGCAGCTCAACACAAACCAGTCCATATATTTTAGCCATGTTTAGTTTTTTAAGACACTCATTTTTCAAAGAAATCTTCCAGATTTTTAGGGTATAAAAGGAATTGTTTGAAAAGAAATTTGTATGTTATTTTTTTGGCTGTATGATAATCTCCTTATTCAATATTAGTTTTAAATTTTTACCTTGAAATCTTGCCTAAAATCAAACGGCGAAGCCTAGGTGTGCCCAGAGCGGACTCACCGATAATCTAGGACAATTGAGAATCTGTATTCTTTGTTTCTCCGCATCTCATCGGTCAATTCATTGACAACAATGCTCGTTTCAGCACTCTATTCAATCAGTGTGCCACTTTGGGCACACCCACAGAATTAAAACGATAAGTGTTATCTTCACAAAATTTTACTTGTGTACTCCTCTAGGCTTAATTAGACTGCCTACCATTTTTTTTTTAAATCAAAACTCCGACTTTAAAAGGTAGCGTGCCGGAAAGGGTTAATGCAGCAGAATATTAGAAATGACATGGACATTAACATGGAAATAACATAACATTTGCAAAAGAAATGTTTTCTGCAATGTAAAAGGAATAGAATGCAATAAAATTGCAATAATAATATACTTACTAGCACACAATTCCTTTATAATTGGATCGAGATCGTCGTGTTTTGGTTTTTGCACTAAATTCATTCAACTGTTTAAATAATCTAAGCGCTTAAGATTGCTTCTGATATTCACAGCATCTTTAAAATATTTCATAATTTTATAATTCCATAAAACAAGAAGCCATCTGCAGAACGATGCAGCTAAATGTTTTCCTTTCAAAGAAAATAAGCTATAATTTTTATGCTTGCGTGTCACTCATGTGCGTCATTCGTCGAAAACAAATCCGTAAGAATCCCGTCTAAACGTCATTACGCCAAGAGAAAATGATGTCATCAGAAAAAAGTCCAATCACAAGTACGGATTTTTCCTATGCGCGTGGCGTGGTACAGAAAACTTATATGCGCATCGGCACCGAATATACACCGGCAATTGATCGACATAATCAAGATTCCACTGATTAAAAAAAGTTCTTAATAAACCTGATAATTAATTGTATACTGATATTCAAAGTCAGACCGTATTCAAAACGCATGAGTGCATTAAGTTTTGAAATTTTAAAGTCATCTGAAAGAAATATCCCCAAATAAAATATGCTACCGAAGCAACATTAACTCTCTTCGTACCTAGTAGAAGCAGGCCTTAATTTACTATGGAAAACAAGAAACAAGTTGAATCTTTCTGAACGAAGTGATTTAAAAATTAAGTTAAGAGATTTTGTGCCAAATATTGCAAAGAAATTGCATCAGTGAATCAGGCGTAGCCGTCACGTTAATTAGAATCGAATTTCTGTGCAATTAGAATCAGTGATTTTGTTTCTGAAAACATATTGGCTGGCCCTCCGCCAATTATATAAATGCAGTTATTTGCATTATGATTATGTTTTATGCTATCTATTGTACAGAAAAATGTAAGGGGATGGATTAAGAAAACCATTGTTGCTTTTACGCTAGATGGTCTCTCGTAATTAATTTATATTTATTTACTGCGTTGGCGCGTTGTCGTCGCCATTGCATTCGGTCGCCTGAACGTAGCTCACCTATAACTGTTTTAATATTAATTTTTTTAACTGAACTGTATTATCGGATTATATTTATGTTATCGGATTATATTATTCGATGCTTTTACATGGATACATTAATTAATATATGTTTACGGTTTGTGATTTACATAAAATAGAAGTAGTTGAAACAAAAAGTTATAGCAAAAGAAACTTCACTTTCGTATTTCGGCGTCATTTGATTATCGGCCATTGAAAAATATTTTTAAAAAGGGTTGATGCAAGAAATGGGTTGGGAATTCCTAGTTTAAAGCAAAGCAAAATGTGAGACAAAGCAGTAGAGGGATATTAAGGATGCACATAGGTGCGTCCTGACAGAGGAGATATTTCAGGATTTCAGATGGAAAGAATTAGGTGGAAAGGCACTTATGTCCATGATTAAAGGAAGAGCATTAATAACTTTCTCTGGGATGTCTTATAGATTGTTACATTGACTAGCCCAATTTTTGATTGAGATCTTTCCTCCTAGAGACATCGTTCCAGATCGAAAGAAATAGGTCACAAAGCACATACTCGTACATCCATGGTCCACTGAAACGCTGAGCGTCCAACAAACGTTGAGTAGCTCACTCTTTACTAGAGATTGCCCTTTGTGGAGTTGCCTTATAAATATTTCAAATTTTTAGACCTGCAGCGGAGAATGATGTTAGTAAGTGACCCTGATAGATCCAGTTGTTAAGAAGTGTGCTCCTTTGTTTGCAAGGCCATCTGTGATTTCGTTATCAGGGATTCAAGAATAAGAAGGAATCCACCGATATACAAAACTTCCTGTGAATCTCGCAGAGGTTGTAAGGATCTTAAGTTTTACTAACGTTTATTTTATTTTAAATCTTTACTATCACTTCTTATTTTCTACTTCCGGCCAGAATTATAAGCGTTAAGGTTTTTATGCAAAGTTTGTCTGGCGAACGCCAAGTATTTAAGTTGTGGCTTTTTGCCAAGCGAGAGAGAGGAAGCAGTGAGTCGAAGCAGGCCGCTTACCTTAGAAGTTACGCAGTTGCTTGTTGCCTTCCAGGCCAGAGGTTTTAATCCTCTTGATAAATTTTAAACGTATTGTAGTGTTCACAGTTCTCTGTACTACATACGCTTCCTGTTAATATAAGGCCAATCTTCCACGTTTATTATTCTAAAGTTAAATTAGAGTTTAGTTTTATTTTTATACTTTTACGTTTTGACCCCAAGTAGCGGGTCGGTGTATTCCGAAGTACGGAAGTCATTGTAAATAGAGAAAAATAAAGGGTTTTGTATACCCTTCTTGTGTATCCTGTCTACTTCCCACAGTTTTGAACATAGCTTTAGTAAGCTCTCTGTTCCGAGTCAGGTCCTTGCATGTTCCCGAAGAAGGTAAGAAGGAACATTGACCCTGATAGTGGCGCCCAACGAAGAAGAATAACCATGGCCGAGTTTCAAGAAGAACCTGTGCTGCCTGCAGAAACGGCTCAGAATCCAGAAATGCCAGCTGCCGCCCTGGAAGGATTTGGTTACAACATCGTCCAGACCATGCGCGCTTCGATGAAACCAGAAGCAACATTTAATGGAAACTCACCGGTAACCAGTTTTTTGGAAAAATTGGATGACCACTTCATGCTCTACCCCGTGCACGAGTTTCAAAAAGTTACCTTAGCTACCAGCGCTTTGAGGGGCCAAGCGCTTAACTGGTTCAAATGTATAGGCAGAAGTCTCTTGGGTCAAGCAGGAAGTCCCACCTATACTTACGAAAATTTCAAGACTGCCCTACTAAAAGCCTTCCCTGTTGTAAGGGATCGTGCGAAATTAGAAACGGAACTTTTCAGTATATATCAACAAAGAATCGAAAACCTCTCAAGCTTTATTTTAAGAAAAATTCACGTCTTCAAGCTCTTGTATGGAAACCGTCCGGATCCTGAAATAATTCAAGTGATTTTGCCGAGGTTTACTGCCCCAAGTGCAAGACTTTATTGAATTAAGAAATCCGACTACACTGGAAAAGTTATTTGAGCTAGCAATCCAGTTTGAAAGTAGAAGAACGGCGGACGTTCGAAAGAAGACGCCAATATCAACAGCGAAACCAATTTGGTACGCCAAGACTACAGCAAACTCAAGCAAGCACACGGCTACGGAAGCAAAGCGAATCAGTGGGCAAGGAAACCCGAGCATTCAAAAACAGCCGGCGAACG